GTAGGGAAGAGAAGAAACAATGCAGCTGTGACAACATATTGCTGTGACTATATGAATAGTTTTACTTATTAGTATTTGAGAAAAACCAAACAAAAACCCCTACCATCTGACCTCTGGAAGAATCTAACTGCATTCAAAAAGTTATGACTGGTTTTCACTTACTCAAAGGTAAATCTTGACAGCCAGATGAAAGGAATTAGCAATTTTTTTTTTTTTTAATCTACTGCTATAGTGTGTCAAAGATCTTTGATTTTGAGTTCTTTTTCCACATTTTATTTTAAAAACATCATTTCAGCTTTTCTTGTTTCCAAGACAAGAAACTAAAACAAACAGGCTCTGTATCAGAGAGGGACAAAAACCAGTCCCTTTTAGCTGTTGTAGTTCTCTGAAGATTTATACTAGCGTAGATGACCGCAGAACTGCATTTCTCCTTTGTCTTCTGGCTTTTATTTTGTAACTGGTTTTATCACTGTTCTTGAAGGGAGTGGAAAACAAGGGCAGCCTTAAGTCTTGTCAGCTAAGGGAGTTTCCAGATAACATATACAAAGCTAAGTGATCTCCATGTTGAATTTATATCTTTAAGCATCTTTTAATATGTTGGTTTGCAGCTGTATCAAAAAGACAGTCAACCTTGTCACTATCTTCTGTACAACACTGAGGTCCTTCTGCCTCTTAAGCTATAGTATATAAGAATTCTACAAAAGACAAAATACTTTGTAGGCCACCACTACCCGCTTGTTTTTTCTTCTCCCTTCTCTCATTAAGCTGGACTTGTGTGTCACACTCACAGAATATTGAAAAGTGCACAGATTATTAAATTCAGTTTTCAGCAATAAAATATTATTACTCCATGTAATGTGATAGTACCTGGCAGTTCAATTCAGGAGCAGGATTATATTTTTAGATCCTATTCAAGAAAAATAGAAAACTAGTTTCTGCTTCCAAAGTCCTACAATCTAATTTCAGCAAAATAAATGTTCTATGAAATACAGATTTATATGAGCTGTAAAGGCAGATACAGTTACCAAACAGGGGTACATGCAGTAGAACTAGACCTTCTTTACCAGTTTTTGAAGTACAATGTTTCTTCAGTTACAGCTTTGGGTGAGATTCCCACTTACATCATTAATTGGATATATGCTGTTAAAAGAATGTCTATATTTGTCTATATTTCAATTTTCTAATCTGCAGAATTGCAACACTTGTTCACAAAACACCTACAACAATTCACTAACAATAAACAGCAATTTTAAACCCCCAAAGTTTCAGCCATTGCTGTACTGCATGCCAACAACATACTTTCTATTTTCCTATAACTAGTAGGAGAATTTCAGAGTTAATTATTTTCATAACATCAAAAATTTGATTAAAATAGTTCATAAGAACTGCAGTATCAGAAAGGGAGTCCTTCTAGCAATGTAAGTCCTCTATGAACAAGAAATTCTTCATAGAAAACATCATGCCACATGCTTGTTACACATTGCATTCTTTCACTGGATCAAGTGAGTATTTTTTGAACATACTTTTCAGACCATACTGCCAACTCACAGTAAAGTGCGCTGTTAGAAAGTGCAACATTATGGGACAATTTGCCACCTGTTAGTGCTGCTGCCGTGGAATCTGTGGAAAGCTTAAGGCCAGCTGACACGCGTTTACAAAAACACATTGGCAATTCTGACAAGGCACAAAAATTACTTTTAGGAAGAGAATGAGTGATTTCAGACTGTAAGAAGAGACGGGTGGAAAACAGTAGATTATTTTTTAATTTAAACATTGCTGTTAAAACAATGTGTATAGAAACCAAATTAATCTCTCTCAACTGAAACCTAATAGATTGTTACAGTCAATGACTGTCAGGTTACAGCATACATTACAAGAGAGTAGCTGATGAAAACATGAGCTAGAGTTCCTGTTTTGTTTGTGATTTTTATCCTTCCCAAGCAGAGGAGAATTACTTATGTTTAGGAATTGTGCAGTCTTACTGCCAAAAATATAAGCACTATTTCTCTAAACACAGAATAATTTGGTGATCAAAATAGAAAGCTTTTAATCATCTCTTCCAAAAATTAGATTAGACATAAATCAGAACCAGTAGTTTTATTCAGTGACACTAGAAAGAAAACTCTAAGTTATTAAAATGCTAATTCGTGCAAGACATTTCACTTACAAATTGGCCTAAGGTCCTTTAAGGAGAGCATAAAGTACAGCTTTAGATTCAATCAGGACACTCATTATTTTCTCTTTTAAATGCCTAACAGAGCTATGTGAAATAGTTGTCCTCATGCATTCCTTATTGTTTCTCTTTAGGGCCATTATCAGTTATGGTCAGGCAAGAGTTTTCTGAATTGATTGAATTCTAGCTGTGGCAGCAATTTATATAGCCATTAGTACCAGCTCTTGAAGATCTGAGAGAGAAAGAAAAACTATACATCTCGTTGTTTAGATTCTAAGCAAATAAAAATAAAATAAACACATTCCTCATTTCCTGCTATTCTGATGGGTCGCTGAGTTAAGCATTTTGAAAACACAAAAGCACTACCAGAGACAACTTCAACTTTCCATTAGTGAAATTCCATGCCAGTGAATAGTATTAATTTGAAATCAAACCTTTTCTTGAATCAGCCTCTGTAGATGAATCCCACATGACAACATTGCTGAAAACATGGTGAGCATGTACTGCTGAATTTTGCATATTCCATTCGCCAAGGAATTCAGTACGGCTGTTAATCCCACTTTTTCAATGACACTCTGGAAAGCACTGGGTGAGGAACGAGTAATTCTGCATAAAGCCTACAAAAGTGAAAAAAACCCCATTGTTATTTAATGGGATTATCATCTCAAGAAAAATAATGGAGAGTAAAAACAGGTGGTGACTTTTCCAATAGTTTAGGGATATAGAGAATTCATAGTTTTATTCATATACAATTAGAGGGAAAGGCTACTTATTTTGAGAGACCTGGAATTCTTCTAAATGTATTGCTATACACTCCATGCAGCTGAAACTGAGATATTTGGTACACCAACATCAACATCAAACAGAGAGCATAGTCCATGCCATGAGTCTTTTATCAGCACAAAATTTAGGTAGCATCAGACAACACTGTACTAGAAAAGAGCACAGGCAGCAGAAAACACACAGATGGCACACACCACAGAAGTCCTGGTCACCCATAAAGGTGGGCATCTTTCTTCTCTCTCTCTGCTCATGGGCCAGAATCTGTTATGTAGTAGTTCACTATCTTGTTAAGGAACAGTGTTTAGTACAGTATGCAAACTATTCTCCAAATGGTTGATTTACAAATATCAGTGATTAAAACAATTCTAATAGAAAATGCAGATACTGAGTATACTCCTGTGAAGTTAGTGCAAACCTGTTCAGTGTATACTAACTTAGCTATTTCATAACAAACATTACCAAATCACCTCCAGGGTGAATTCATCTCTAAGTCAACACAGCTTTTCTTTTTGATACCTCTGGAAATGCAACCTTCAAGATACTGTAACTCTCTTCAGATAAAGAAAATAAGGCTCTTAAGAGATTTAAAATTTCATTTTCTTTGGCTTTCATGTAGTGTTAGGATAGGAAAACAGATTATGTCAATTATTTAATTCACGTGAAAATCTGCATTGGTTTTAGGGAAAAACTTTGAAGGCAACTTTCTTCTGTGAAAAGTAGGCAATATTACCACTTCTCTTCAGACCAGCTATATTTAGAAATTGCTGCTTACTTGGAGTGCATTCAATACTGAGGTCTCATTTAAGAGAAACTATAGTCAATTATACCCACAGAATACTATCATCAGAGAAAAGCTTTCCATGTAAGAACCTCAGAAACTTCCCAGTTCACCAGTGCCCTTAGAAACATTACTCAAAACATGCTAAAAAAAAAAAAAAAACCAAACAAAAAAGGAAAGCATAAAAGACAATAAATCAAGAACTTATGATTTTTTTAACAGACATTTTATTGATGCCGTTCATCTACTCTGCTCCTATTCTTCCTTGTCCTTTCTGGTCCAGGAACCATATCGATTGCAGCCTTTTATTTTTGTCGTCATCCCCCCCTCTAAATACACAAACACTCAATCTCAGTTTTTTAGTATAGCATGCTCTATTTCCCCAAGGATACAATCCAGCCCTTCACCTCTAGTCTGAGTTCTCAAAATGAGTGGACAGGAAGTATATGCATTCACTAAACATATCCTTGAGGGTCACATTACCAGTGAACTGCTGGGACCTAGGGACAGACTCTGTCAAAGCAACATGGAGCTAACTTGGTGTGCTAACATGGTGCATGCAGACTTGCTGTCTGCTACAGACCTCTTCAAACAAGGGTGACCATAGACACAGGCCATTAGATGACCTCCAGGCAAATCTGGTAGGAAAGGCATCACTGTTTTCTAGGATCATATTGCAGCTTTGGAGACAGCAGGGAAGTTGCAGCCCACCAACAGCCAAGGGAAGAAGCTTTAAACTCCCATTAGCTTGTAAGTCAGAGAACGCTCTGCTGTACGAGTGAAACCAACACTTGAGCAGACAAGCAGAAGAGAGAGTTTAATGGGGGATAGAAGACAAAGTATTGTGAATCACTTCAGTAGATCCAGTATCTGGAAGGAACAGATTCACATAGGTCAAAAGGTGGTGGAGCAGGAATTGGGAACTGATGATGAGAGGAAGTGGGAGTAAAGCTCACACCATCATCTCTCAGTAGCAGTCTTGGAACAAGCAATGATCACAGTGAGAGTAAGGCATTGGCAGAGCCTCTCGTGGAATTGTCTTCTCTGTCCTTGCTCTCTGCACAACCTTAACCAGCACCTTTTCTTCCAGCAGCTCCAACCCTGGCATCATGATCCTTATCGGTCCCTTCCAACTTGAGATATTCTATGATTCTATGATCATCTATGCCCTATCCATTGCCTTCTGGTCTTACATGCCATACAGTGGCTCAATAACATTCACCCTTTCAGGATGTACTCCATGGCTCTCTCAAGTTTGAGAATGAATGCATCTGCAATACCCAAGTCTCTGAAAGAAGCTATTCAGATATTATTTAAGAAAAGAAACCAAACAAAAACAAACCCCAAAAGATTGTATTGAGCTTTCCCAAACTACTTTCCACTTAAGTGGCTTATATTTTGTTACTCTTCCTGCAGCAGAAAAAGCCATCTCTTACAAATGAAATTAAAAATTATTTTTAAAAAGATTGTAAAGACTCTCAGTATACTGGAAAGAAAATAATTTCTTCCCGCTGCTGAGCTTGTCAGAATGTCACTTTGACATCTTACAGAATTATTTCTTCTCTGAGTCTAGCAAAATGATAAAAAGATATAGCTTTCCTACAGGCAGAATCTGTGATATTTACCTGAGGCACGTTGGACTCCAAAGTGAGCAAAAATACTGAGACACAGTCCCCGTTTGCCACCTCTGACAGGCAGGACAAGGTAAAGTGTCATTTCTTGACTCCAGAGACTGAAGACAGACAATCTTCTTGATACATTTTTATTATTGATTGAAATAATCATAAGTAAAATTCCATAGTGCCTTGCTCCTGATATACTTTGCAGACAGCCTGCCAGCTCTAGTAAAGGTATGACACATGTATTTCTTAACAGAAATGTATTTTTACATGTGAATATAGATGTCAGTCAAGAATAAATTCTTCAGGATACATTCAAACAAGGCAGGAATGACTGCATAATAAAATACAATAATACACTGATGATCTCAATTTATGTGGTCATGCAGAATAAAAATGCCTGCATATCTATAGCAACAATTTAATGAACACAGAATTTGTACAGTACAACATAGCTGGAGAATACATTAGTATTTTACTTTAAAAATTAGTATGTTACTGAAATCTCTATAAATTTCAGTTGGTAACAGATCTGCCTGTGCTAGATTTCAATATAGATCGGTTATTTTTTTCTAAAGTTAAGATTATATATCCAAATATCCCAGCAGTATTAATATATAACCATGATTTGTATCAGGCATTGAGTAATAAATCCAACAAATAAGTTCACACTCTTGTTACTTTAGTATTTCACTACAAAGCAGCAAAAGGATTAGAGTACCTCCTTAGTATATCCTACTTTAGAAGCTTCCTTGTCCAATTCACATGTGGTATTAAATAATTAAACCTCAGACTTTTGATAAAGTACACAGTGCCCAAAACAGTGGAGAGGAAAACCCAGAAACACACTCAGGCCCAAGCACACTTGCGTGAAATGATCTGTCTGGAAAGAGATGGAATCAGCTACATGGATAGCAATAATTTCCATAAAGACCAGAAAAACAAGAAACAAAGCAGTTGGACCAAGTATGTGCAAGAGTGAATATCTCTTACTCTGGCAATCCCCCTGACTGCTGCTTCCACTGAAAGCTCCCCAATACGTTAGTCTGGAGCAAGCCCTATCTCTAGCATGACTAAAACCTCAGTAACTAACCAAGGGAAAGGCATGATCTCCAGTAAGCCTACTGCCTATACAGGAAAAAAAAAATGTTAGTTGGGAACAGGTTTGGGGGGTTTTTTTGCTTATATTGTACATATGTACATTTATACTTCAGATTTGCACGAGATGCTGAAGAAATTTTTGCCTTGGCAGAACTCAGTGTGCACACACAACTGGGTCATCTTTTTAAAACACTGGCCTCGACACTAAAGCATGCACTGCTAAGGAACTTTGACAGAAAAAAAGTTAATAGAATGATAAAAAGGCATCTTTCTTACTTAGATTGACAACTACCATTGAAAGGATGTCCCACAAATCATCTGAGCTTCTCTAGGGAATCCTGGTAATTGCAGCTATCATGACCTCCTAAAACACACTGCTTTGTCCTAACATATGTCATCTATAAGAGGGCTTCTAGAGTAGATCTTGAGGACTGATAAGCTTTGACAACTAAGTCTCTGAATTTGCATTATAAAGGGAAGAAAAAAAAATCAGGAGGTAAGAGCTTGGCAAAAACAATATCATTGCAAGTCTTAGGAGTGCAAACCCAGGAGTGAGAGATGACTCAATTTTGAACTACAGTATAAATATGGTAGCTTATTATACATGTCACTGCATTTAACATCCCTGGTTGAGCAAGAGGCCCATAGAGATCAGGTTGCTCTATCACAGCTATAGTGACAAAATGTGAAGGAACTGAGGAACTCAAAATCGGATATTTTCAGTCACCTCACTTGGAGTAGATGACACAAATGCCAGCACTGTTTGACTAAACTGAGTAATTAAAAAAGCATCATTGACTAGTAAGTAGTGGTAGCTGCCAGTGGACACAAAAAAAAAAAAAAAGGAGTAAACTAGGCTACAATATACTCTTCAGGTTTTAGCTTCCTCTTAAACATTTTTTCCTACCTTCCAGATAAGATGCATGAGGATTTTTTTCTCATCAGATGCTACAGAAAAAGGCAACTCCTGAAGTGCTTAAGAGAGGCTAGCTACCCATAGTGTAAATACCACGACAAAGAAAAGATTTCTCAGTGGTTCACCACAGCCTTACAGCCTTGGGAGGATTGAATGACCTGGGATCTCAAAAGAGGCCAAGGACAGAGTTCTAAAATATTACCTGTATTGATGGGTAAGGCTTTTGTTTTGTCAACAAGAGATATGGTTAAACTCAAGAACCCTGTTAAGTATTTTCTATCTCACAAATCTTTTTGTTCCAAACTTTTTGCTTGCGTGTCATAGCTCTGTTTGTCTCATTATCATCCTATATTAACTTACAAATTTAAGGCAAAGACTAACCCTGACGATTTTATAGAAATCATAGAATCATAGAATTGTTTAGGTTGGAAAAGACCTTCAAGATCATCGAGTCCAACCATTAACAAAGTAACACAATGATTTCAAATATGTCTTCTAAGCAAGTCTGTGATAAGAAGAATAAACACTTCATGTAAAACATAGTACAAAAATGAAATTTCAATTCTGCAAGGATTTAATTGATTCTTTGAAAGATTAAAACATTTCAAACATAACTCATGATCACCAGCATAAGAAAATATATGTTCCAGAAAATGATGAGTCACAAAGACTTTTCATAAGCAATGGACTGCAATATGTGCGCTTTTCAATTTCAGAAAATTTGTAAATATGTTCAAATGTAATCTGAAATATAAATACACACACATACAGAAAACATCCTCAAAACCATTTCAGTTTCAATGCAGAATGCTTTTCAAAATAAACCCCAAAGCGTTTCTATATTACAAAAGGAAGTTTCTTACCGAAACAGCAGTTATCTTCAAAGAATCTACTGTAGAATGTGTGAAAAGGTACCACAATACAGGTCCAATTTCTCCTGTAATAAATCCCTGTGCATGGCAAGAGAGAGTAGTGCAAACATTTTCAATTATCTTAGCTGCCAAATGGTTCACTATCCGGTCTTCCTGTAAGGAGAGGAAAGCAAAACTCATACAAATGTTTCTGATTTCTTTCTAAACTACTGCCTATGCCCATGTTTTATTCCATTTATATTGTCTTAGCATGGTTTCTTAATTTTGATACTTGCCAAGGCCATTTCATAGGAAACCTCAGCTTATAACAAAGTTGTATTTACAGATCCCCCCCCCACTTTCTCTTCTACTGCAAAGATAATTTAATACAAGCATAATGCAATACAAACTCTTTCAGCTCCAAATGACCACCCTAAATTAAATGCAGTCACTAAAAAATGAAAATGTTTTGTATGTTAGAGGTGTTCCATGGTCAGTGCTTTACGAATTAAAGTCTCTGTATCAAAACTCACCACTACAATAGGCTCTGAATAGCAACATTATGAGATATACAGTTACATTAGGAAAAAATAAAATTTAAACATTCTTTATACAGAAGAGCCAACAGCCTCCCTGGTATAAAGAAAAAGCCTTCCTGCAAGTCAAGTTATTCTGTAAGTCCCTTCTCTTCCTCTTCTGAAACAGACAATCCTGACCAATCTTTAAGATAAACCATTGGGTCTTGTGTAGTATATCAATTCCTAAATTTCTCTAAGGGTTTTAATACTAATCAAATAATTTTATCTGCAAAATCATTTGTGGAAAGCCACTGTACATGTAGCTTTAATATCTACAGAAGAATATTCATACTACAAGGTCTTCATGGAATAAAAAAAAATCATGTCAGAATAATCACAAGCCATCAGGACATCATGGACATCACATGGCAGCAGTTCTTTCTCAAGAAAACTGTTACTGACTCCTATGGAAGCTTAACTTCATACAGATCACTTAAAAGCAGATTCTCTAATTTCCCTCTCTCCTCCCCTGACTTCTTTAGTATCTCTTTTTTTTTTTTTTTTTTTTTTTTTTTTTTTTTTTTTTTTTAAATCCTGCTTTCACTTAAAAGCAGAGTCTTTACCTTAACAGAACTGGAAGGTTCATTGCTGGTGGGTTTTTGGCTGTGCATTGCCTCACCTTATCTCGATCTTTAACTACGAATAAGTGAAGTCTTTCAACAATGTCTTAAGTGGCATTCTTGAATTCAGTAAGCGTGAATTTTAATACAAGAAGGACAACCAATTTAATTTTTCAAGTCTACCTCATAGCCTGGCTTCACAAATAATTCATCACGATATCTAATTGATTTCTTTCTTAAAGTAATCTTCACATTATCCTACTAACCTTTGGATTTCTGACATTTATCTTCACAATCGGAACCACCAACAACCGTGAGCAATGATAATGAAACCTTTCAGAAAGCAGTACAAAAGCGTTCCAGAATGGGAGAACTTATACTTCATTAAAAATATATTCAATATCCACTCTTCCTTCTACTGACTTAGGTATTCTAAAATATAGACACTGAAGAAATACTTGGAAACTCTAATGAAATGCCGTTAAAATTCTTCCTGTTCTCCCAAAGAACTGCAACTCTACTCAAAATACTGAAATACAAAAACCATCCACTCTTTCACAAAATTCTACTGACTTCTGTGGTCTTCCTTCTGGTTTACAGCCATGAAAACAAAGAAGATTTGGGCTCCTCTGGTTTTACAGTTCTTATTACTGCAATATATTGTATCATTTTGATCTAATAAAGACCTAAATACAGAAATACAGGTACAATTATCAAAATGAAGTTTCTCGAAACTTTTTATAAATAATGTTGATTTTTAATCCTTTTCTGTGAATTGTAGTTCTGCATTTCAGTTTTGGGTTTTTTTGGTACAGCTAGGGTTTGATTTATCAAACTGACTGTATGCATTTAAAATCAATCTGTAATTGACATGTTAATAGTCAAGCTAAATCTCTCTCATATGTAAAGTGATTACTAGGAATGCCAACTGGGACTCCACTACTACTTTAAGCAGACAAACACTTAATAAATGCACTATAATCCCTTTAATAAATCATAATCAAAGCATTATACAGTGGATAATAGTTATTATGAATGTTAACAAATTTCCAGATGCAATTGCAGCTTTTCTTCACAAAACTTGGTCCTGAAGATGTGCTTTATTTCCTTTCAGCCACCACTAAGATGAGTTCTGCTCTGTGCCAGATAACCCTGGTACTTTGGCTAGGAAAAGTTCATGTATCGTCACAGTGCCCTAAAAACTCAATGAGGCTGTCAGAGTAATTCCATTTGTTGCCACCCGAGATTGTCCAGCTCAGCTCCTCTGGGATCTATTCCTGAGCACTGTCTAAGCAACAAGACTTGTACCATTTTCTGCTTTATTAGCTCTCTGGAAGGGAAGCCTTACCTAAACTACTATCTGGCATCTTAACTAAAAGAGTCATCCCATCATGTTACGAGGACATAAGCTATGTTAGTGTACAGAAATAGATCTTCAAGATATGAGCAAAGCAGTTCTATATAAGTCAACCTCTGCCCATATCATGAACTGCATCAAATCTATATCTATGAATAGAACTGTATCACAAAGAATCACATACTCATCTTTCACTGGGTTTAGATTTCAGCTAGTTTTATAAATGCACTTAAAGATAAAGCTCCTAATTTTCAGTCATGTTGAACATTTGCAGATGTATCTGTTTCCAAGTAAAGTCATGGGTGCTTAGTGAAAATGAGCCCTGAGTGAGAAAGCACATATCAAAAGGGCAAATAGATGTAAACTGCTAATTAATCAAGTCTTTCTATTCCAGTTGTGAAATGGAAAAAATGCAAATCAAAGTCGTGAAAGAATCTACCTTCATTTTTTGAAATAATTGAATCTACTGGATACAATATATTGATTGTTAAAAACTTAACAGTGCACTAGAAGTTTTGGAGGCACTGAAGATACAGTCACTATGCTAACCACCCTACTACCTAAATATAGCATAATTTCATGTGAAGGTTAAGATAAAATATTTTATGATCTTTTTATATTATACTGTGTCTAGATACATACACTTGAGTAAAAGCATAATACTGATATAGAAACACTGGAAAAGCCGAAAGATTCAGGAATTAACACTGTATTCCCTCATTATTCTAAATCAATTTCTATACACTTCTTCCTTTAATCTAAAAAGAATAAAAAGAAACTACAAACATAAATTAATGACGTAAAGCTGTATCATCCTAAGCATTCATAATTATAAGAATTAAATCATAATTTGGCAACAATTCGCAATATAAAGCCTTCACAGAGAAGAAGAAACATGTAGAAATAAATATTTTAAATAACTTTTGTGGAAAAAAAATTAAGAAATTCTGTAAACTAGAGAATTGATATATAAATAAATGAAAGTGATAATGTATATGATTCAGACCATTACTTTTATACTATAGGCATTTCTGCCAGTAAACTAAAAAACTGATGTCTAAAGAAGAAATTGAAGTGGTAATGTATATGATTCAGACTATCACTTTTATACTACAGGCAATTCTGCCAGTAAACTAGAAAATTGATACCTAAAGAAGAAATAAAAGTGAGAATATATATATGATTCACAGTATCACTTTTATACTATAGGCTGTCCTATACTTTTGAAGAGAATAGTTACAATTTTATCCTCCTCTCCAAATTCTCCTTTCTCCTCCAAATTCATTGTAAAGAAACTGCTCTAGCTAAGAATATGCATTATAAAACATACTGCCTTACATTATATATTGGCAATTATTTTTCAAATTTATCTTTTATTATTAAAATTCCTCACCAGTTCAGAACCAAACCCCTCAGACTTATATCTTGCTCCCTCATAAAGAAGTCCATATGAGAGAGGGAAATGTGTACTATATAGCTTACTGGCAAGCTCTAATTTATTAAAAGTCTTGCTTACACAGTACCTTGCACATCCAAAAGACAGAAAATTATCCTTTGTAACCTCATTCACTATTTCTAATGCAGATACATTCTCCAGGTGCCATGCTTTAAAATGAGAGGATTATGCACATTCTAAAAGCCATAATCAGCTAATTAGCTATAGCTGTATATATTAGTTTATCTATACAAGTGTATTGCCTATATATTTTATCCAGGTTCTATGAAATTATTACTAAAATTGTATATAATTGTGTACCTTATATTTACATGCCATTTGCAAGCAGAAATGGACAGATGCCAAGCACCCTAAAGCTTTTTCAAGGGTTCCTCTCTGTTTTTACACAGGAAGACTTAAAAGGAGGCTTGCACACTTGCCTAGTTTCAGCGAAGGACCTCATCAAAGCAACATAATCCAGACAAATCAGACAAGAAAAATCATGAGAGACATCAAAAAGCAGTTTGGATATGGGAAAGATTATTAGTTCTAAGATGACTATTTAAGCTGATATTTCACTTAATTAAGATTAGGTTGAACCTTAAATGTGATACTGAAAAGCAAAAAAAAAATATACGCAGAGTCAATGAGGAGAATCAAATAAGACAGGATTTGGGGTAAAGTAGACAAGGGTAACTTCAGCAAAGGAGTTTTGAATAAACTGAGTAAAACGGATGAAAGGAAAAGGGTAGCTGCATTAGGTACTTCATATTAAACAAGAATATCCTTTCTGAAACAGAAAGTATCTTTCATGACTGTGTAACACAAGAACTGTAAGAACTAAGCACTTTAGCTGTAGAAATCAGGACCCTGCTATCTTCGAGACTGCCCACAAATATTTAGAAGTTGAACTTAGATACAAGTACAGATGCCTGGCACAGGCATTTTGTGTCGATGTTGGAAACAGTTGTTGGAAAAGATTATTAAATAAATATTGGAATATTTACTACATGGGTTCTGACAGACTGCAACATTATACCAGTGCTAAACATGTAAAATTTGTCTTATCATTTACTTATGTACCGATTTCCTTATTTTGACACATCACTGAACGTACCTCTTCTTTGCCTGAGTTGAAATTCAACTTCTATCTCAAGTTAACAACATTGAAGTGTGGAAAATCTGAACTTGTGATCCCCTACAGATAAAAGACTTTCCCAATCTTCTACTCCACTGTCCTAAAACTCCTTTCACCTATACATTCACGTTTTGTCACTGTTAGATTTTCAGGCACAGAAGGTACATGGAAATGTCACTACCTGCATTTTCTGAACATTTTGTTCCTTTGTAGGCAAATAGGGACACATGCACGTTTCAAACTCCTTCCTGCTCTACTGTTCTGTTTCAGAGGGCAATTCTGCTTTGATAATGACGAATCATATAAAACTCCAGAGATCCAAGCACCCTTCAGAGTAGTTCATAATGAAACTGAAGAACAATGAATTTGCCTTACAAAACTTAATGCTATATAAACTATAGCACTGAATGACATAAATGGGTTTTATTTACTTGAATTCTTATTAAAGAAATCAAATAAAGCTTCTTAACTATCAATAAAAACTACAAGTATGCATTTATAATGCTTATACTTAACACACTGTGGTAATTCAGCATTTATTACAAAAGGTTAGTTTGCCATTTTCATAAATACTGAGATCATATAGAAATATTCACTCCAGAAAACATACTGATGTAAAATGTAATTAAATAAGCTTAGAAAAATTAAAATAAATTTATTATTTAAATACATTTAATTAGAATTTCTTAATTACGAATGTAAGAACGCAAAGCTTGCTTACATGTAATAAATTGTTAGATCAGGGAAATTTATTGAACAAATAGCAGATTACTAGCTACAAATGTAAAAGAAAGAAATACAGCAGCTAAGATCTGAAGCTGCAGTCAAAGAACATTAAGCACAATGAAGGCAAATTTAGATGATATTTTCAGGATTTTCACATCCAGTCCTTTGCTAGTGCAAGCAATAAAATTTACATGGAACCTCATTTTATTTTTAAGTCAGACCTTAAGAAAGTTCTAGGTTGTTCATTTTAATTATTTCTATTACCTCCTATTTCGCAGCAGGATGGGGGGCGAAGAAAGTGTCATTCACACGCTCCCCTACCACACCTGCATATCAGCCACTAAATGTTGTGAGCCACTCACGGCCCAGACAAAGTAGCTCTGTGCCTGCTACTGGAGCAATGCAAAGTTGACTCATAAAAAAAAAAAAAACCAAACCAAAAAAACCCCCACATTAGAGCCAGTGCATTAGGTTGGCACAAAAGAGCACTGATTTGAAAAGTGAAGAGGTTTGAAAAGCAACAAGAAGGGCTTCTATTTGTTCACTGCTGAACGAGGCAGAGCCAAAGGACATAGAAAAGGCTCAGGTCAATGCCTTCTCTGCCTCAATCTTCATTGCTCCAAGGCCTTCCATGCCCATGTGCCAAATAGCAAAACCTGGGGGAGCTAAGTATACCCAGAGGACAAGAAGACAGAGGCAGGGGACATTTAAGCAGACTGGACATGCAGAAGTCCATTGAATCAGAAAGGATGTAACCAGAAGTGCTGAGGACATCAGTAAACATTGCTGTTAGTGACCACACATCTTCAAAAGTTTGTGGTGATCAGGAGATACTCCTGTTGACTGGGGGGCTGGGGAGGGGGAAGCAAAGGGCAGGCCCACCTTCCAAAGGGCAAGACAAGGAATCCCTAACTCTATCCCTGGAAAAATTACAGAGCAAATTGTCCTGGAAGCTATTTGCAGGTACATGAAGGGCAAGAAGACTGGTAACAGTACGAACTTATTTATTCAAATTTTACCTCCTCCACCCCTGCATCTAAAACATCTGGCACAAAAACTTATTTTATATCTCACTATTCTTTCCTTAAAAAAAAAATAATCTTGCAAACAGATGTCTAACAATAATATGATTTTAACTATCCAGTTTTAGATGCTGCAACATCATTCTCTAAGAAAGATGGATGGCTAGTAGAGTTATGGAGGATAAGAAGAGGATTGCTACAAGAGCAGAGGAAAAAAGAAATTGTAAACGTTAATAACAGAGTGTGGTAAGTTTCTCTCTCCATTCCCATATATTGTGAATTACTTTACATATTCACAGATATTTTTGATTCTTCAAGTGGTGCTGTTCTGGAAAGTTGAGGCTGCCACAACTGAGACAGAGCAATTTGTATTTAGTACCTTTGCACTGTATTCACACAAACAAGCACGAATACTTAAACTTCATTACAAACCTTGAGCATCTTCACAAACAGAAAGTGTAGAAACGCACAGCTCTGCTTGGTTAGCCTAGACATAACTTTAAATTTACACTTAATTAAATTCAATTCAAAATATTGCATGGGAAAATATATTTCTATTATGTGAGTTTTTTTCAAGAAAAATTTATCAAGATAAATTATTAAGAAAATTTTGACATGTTTCAGGACTGAGTAGTGTTTTTTTTCTATAGGAATAAATTAGCATCTTATGGATGTCTTGATTTAGTTTCTCTACACTGAATATTCAGAAATAGCAAGTCTTCCATTAATAAATTTATAATTAAATAGCTTCTCACTAATGTGCCTTAGAATGACATCTTACTCTAATTTATGAGCTGGAAATAGCCCACAATACACACACAGTTGTGTGTTCTTCATCACCTGAAGGTCTGAAGATGTTAAAATGCATCTAGACTCTTCCTCTATTAATCACCATCTGTAAGCAATAAAGATCTCAAAAAAAAAAAAAGAAGAAAAGAAAAAAAGGTATGCCTCTTGCTTTCCTTCCTACAGCAACCTCCGACATGTTTTCTGCCTTGAGCTTTGCCTTGGGCAAAAATAATGTCAAGTGGTCTCATATAAACAGTAAATGCCAACCCTCTACTCAATTCTTTTTGAGTTTACAAATTGGAACTATATGCATGTTTTTCTTTCCTTCTTCTAACACAGCTAAGTCATCACCAAGAAGAATGAAGAATACAGCACAGCACATATACGAGAATAAAACTAATTACTACTTTTTGGCCTCAAAAGAATGCTAACAACCCAGTAGGATAACAATGTAGTTTTCAAAAACTGTACCTCAGTCACTTCAAAATAGAAAGTAAATCTTGCTCAAAAATGCACTGCACAAAAATGAAATTGCAAGAGGGCAGTACAAACTGTCAGAACATTTCTCAAAAGAAAGCCATAGCATTAAAAAATTCCACATTTATTAACAGTCATTTATATTTAGTATCCTATTTCCAAAAAACAAGCAGCAATACATAAATGTTGAATGTACAGAGAACAACACTGCATTTTTGCATTAATCTCCTGCTTAGGTCATGGTCTTATCATGATTATTTAAATTCAAGAGCAATACTTGGTTGACAAGGTACTGCAGTGCTGCAGGCTACAATCCTCACACAATGCCTAAAGGGTTATTACAGTGGAGAAATTCTATCGAGGACAATGAAAGAGCCTTACCCCTTCCCGAAGACACCTCATTAGCACAGTGTAAGCAGCTGAGGGAACAACCCAGCGTTCTCTAGGGTGCTCCCTTTTTTCCTCCTGAAATGAAGCCAACGGCACAAATTATTAAATCAAAAAACCACAATAATCTCACTCACATAAAAAAAATGGGTAACAGATTCTTAATAAGGTTCATATTATACACATTTTCAAATTAACACATGCTAGAAAATATATTAAACTCCAGAGCAGCATTACTATTTCATGTTATTTCACATGCAGCACAGAAATTGGTATTTTATCAGCTTATTTAAATCATCTCCAAAATCCACAACGGAATTTGTCCTAATATTTCTGGGTTTCATTGACTCCTAACTCACACACACAAAAAAATATTCTTGCATTCCTCTCAATCATTTTGATTACTTCAGAAAGAGACAACTGATTATTAAAAGTAGTAATGCTTCTCTTCAAATCTGATTTGGTTATACCAAACAAAATTACTTCTGTCTGGCAACTAAAAAAAAATGTAAACTTATTTCAGAAAAAAAATATTCAAAGTCATACAGTGAGATATAAAAGTAGTTAATAAAACTCACTGTATGTAATAGCCTTCAGTACATTTCAACACTGTTCCAAGATCTTTATGTATATTTCCTTGAAATCACCCTGTTAGGCTAATTCACTGCTAGTTGAGTCAGGGGTTTGTTTCTTCCATTAGAAGTTAATGAACTCCACTTTTCTCCGCCCCCCCCCTCCCCCATCGAGTAGCCTACTATAAAACTTCAAGTTTAAAGAGGACACTTGGATATCATTAAGATTTAACTAAAACACAACCTCCACATCTAGGCTAGTAACATGGAGATATTAGAGGGATTAAAAAAATAGCCTCTTTGGGGAAAGAAAGTGCGAATAGGCATCGGATGGTATGAAGATTATATGCCATGAAATCAATGTGCAGCTTGTCTTAATAAGTAGACAAAGGATGACAAGCAACAATTCCTTCAGAAATTATACATTTCTTGAACTCTGTTGATTATATTAGTAAACTATTCTAGCATTCTAATTACCTGTTTATAATAAAAAGCATAGGATGGGCAAGGTGGGAGTTAATGATGCAGAAACAAATTATACTTTCTGAATTTGCAGGTTTCTGAGTGGCCTACACTAATTCAACGTACATTATATGATAATGTCAAGCATTTAATTAAAGCATGGCACATTGGCAGGGAAGACTATTACTGAATTGCCTACTAAAATTAATTTTCCTTCTTTATTGCTAATAAATCAAAACTTTATTTGCAACATATATCAATAGAGAAAATTAGTTTGTTAAACACCCCATTTTTTTAAGCTTTATTTCTGCTAACTTTGTATTAGGAGGTATGGGACAATTTTCCTTGGAAGTAATTTACGGACAGTAATAATAAAAGTGGTTTGCCATCCAACAGAGACATCAGATCTACTACATTCCACCTCCTTCATTTTATCTGAGTAACAGCATGTTGACATTTAATCACAGTTTGCCTTCCAAGGCTTAGTGTATAAGCCTAAGAAAACGTAGCCCAAGTTTCAAAGAAGGATGGCAGGTTACTTTCTAACAGTCAAAAGTGGAATCTTCTCCACCTGGAAAAGGTAGGACAGGACTAGGAGTCAAGACAGCATTAAAATGACAGCTTATGCTGGAACTGGCATGGGTCTGTTTCTCATTTTATTCACCTAATTTAATCAGAAATTCTGTCAGGTTTTTTGGTAATCATACATATTAAATGTACTATAAAGTAAAAAAGCCTTAAGAAATGGTGCAGTCCTGAAACATTAATAGTTCTTCCATTCTTCAGACTGATTAATGACTTTCTCCAAGGTTTAGTCTCTAGTCAGAAATTTAAAAAAAAGGCAAAAGGTGTATGAAACTTAGCACCATTCTTAATTACCTAAAGACACCTACACAATTTGATATTTAATAAATTTAAATATATCACCAAACACTGGGGGGTCTTCCTACTTTTTGCTCACAGCCCATGTTGATTTTGATTAAACTTTAGGTTCTGCACCCTAATAACATAAATGGCATGAAATGAACAGAAATATTACATAGAACTTGAAAGTTTTCCCTCAAGGCAATTTGCTTAAGAGTAACAAGAACATCCTCCCTGGGGTCTGCTCATGCTACTTGTGCATTGCTCTTGGCTTCTCTTTGGAAGAAAAATGTAGAGATGGAGTGTAAGATCTCACTTATGAGATCTCATATGCAGGTACACACATAGTATCAGAGTTTAGAATCGTAGAGGACCATTATGATTATCTGGACTTTTCCCCAGTATTTTTCTAAGCCACAGAAGTGCAACCAGCAATCCTGTGTTTAACCTAATAAATCATGCTGCACCTAGATAACTGAACTTGATTTTAAGTGTTTGACAATTTATGACTTACCAAATGTTCATATGAAAAAGAAATAATCTTTACCGTTATTTAATATTAATATTGTGGTTGGACCTAGAAACACTTTGCAAAAACACAGAGAGAATACATAAATAAATAAGAATAGCCATGTCCCCAAAAAAACACAGTTTAAATGATAAGTATTTAGCAGCTCGATAAAACAATCAAGCAGGCTGAACAGCAAAATGGAAGAAAACATGGACAAAAAAGAAAAACAAAAATATTTTGTGTACAGTTCCTAATTAATCAGATGCAGTTATGATTTTTTTTTTTTCTTAAATTAGTCTAGGCACAAAGCTTTGCTGTTTAAAGATATAAATTGGGAATAAACATTCTTGTTTTATCTTATTATACTGCCATTGACCTGGTGTGTGATCTTGACAAGGTCATTCAATACTACTGTTCTACAGTCTAATGAGCAACAAAATGCCCACAACACTACAGTATTCCGAGGTTAAGTAGGTACAGTAAAGAGAAATGAAAAGCTTTATAAAGGGCTTTTCTTAAAAAATTTAAAAAAAAAAGCTAGTGTCTCCAAGCACACAAATCACACTGATATTCTTGTAGTTTACCAAGACACAGTGCCTTGAGTTCATATGTGTAGAGTAGTTCCAAATATTTCTTCCTATTCTCTAATAATTTCTTAGTTATAACTCAAAGCAAAGCAACCCATTACTGTATATCTTCCTGAAACATGATAAGAGTTGTTATTTAAATACAAGTTATCATGCTTCAAACATTGTGAAATTCATAAATACATATAGACTCAAAAATTTGTCAGTTCACCTTTTCAGAAGAAAAAAGAAAAATCTGTCAGGGTCAGTGCATGTAAATCATTTTGCTGTTATGGAGCTAGCAGAAACAGATTAGTTTCAATCACTAAAATTCAATTTCAAAATAAAATCAAGCAGTGCAAAATACTCTTGCCAAATATAATTCTCAAGTTGCAGTTTTAAGTTTATTTGTTTTTATTAGTGGTTAAAAAATATATCATTTGCAATCTGTCTGATGATGCTAAGTACAAAATTTTCCTCCCCAAGGAAAACTGAGAAAGTATTAAAACATATAAAAATAAACTGTGACTGTGGATGTATTTTCCATAACACAATCTCTCAGTGTTAGAACAAATTCTGTGACTCTGTATGTTTGATAGGTATTTTGGCAATTGTCTAACGAGAAAAGGATGATGCTCACTAACCTACAAAAACCAAGGCAACAGTTTAATCTTGTGGAATACGCAAAGGAGCTAGGGGATGAGGACAATCTAATATGGAAGTTCAGCACAAAGCCATAACTACCGTAAGCCAAAATACAGATACATTTGGTATTTTCATTCCTTTATCAACTGACCCAACAGACTGATAACTAACATGACAGCATTCAGAGCAATTAGATGATGTGGTTAATACAAAGGCTTCAGAGAAACTAGGGCTAGGCTTTTTCTGTTTGAAGTCACCTTCGTTTCTAATAAGTAAAAGAAAGTATTCTATTCTTTGAATAAGGGAAAAGAAAGGTGAGGGATTAGAGGAGCTGTCATCTTCAATTCCTGCTATTAGTAGTATTTATTTTCTACAAAAAAACTCAGTTTATTTTTATTGTGGATCTACTACTTCTAGACTGAAGGCTTAAATCAGTTCTAGTCAGGAATCATCGTAATTCCATTTGAAATTAGTCAGGATCATTCCATTTCCTTTTCCACAGCATTGTGAATCCAACCATGCTAGATCTAATATGGACTAGATATGTTAATTTATTGATATCATAGGCTGTACTGATACATTGAATTTAATCAAAATCTCTAGCTAAGATGTTCTAACACTTAGATTTGCCACTTGGAGGCCAGCAGTCACTATGGTGATTGATGAAATTGTTTTAGGAAGTTAAAACTCTATACTTAAAGAATGCAATTTCATTTATCTCAGATGGAAGTACATGATTGGACTAACATGTTTCTTAAAGTAGAAGAAGTATCATGGAACATACAAGGACAAGAAACTGTTGAGGATACCAATGACAAAGTAATTTGCTTTTTTTGTCTACCCTTCCATGGGAATTTTTTTTCACATTTATTAAATTTGTAAGGATCACTTAACAGTCTTACCTCACTGGCTATGAGGTAAAGAAGCTCCCCAAGTGCTGGTAAAAGGCATTGTTTCAATTTGCTATTTCTGAAGTGCTCTCTGATGAGTTCAGTTAAAAGTATAATTGCCTAAAATAAAAAAAACAAATCATAAAACAACATGTATTATCTCTTTGCAAGCAAAATGTACTGTTAAAGGTAACAACCTTTATCTGAAATGCCATCTTACAGTTATGCTAAAAAGCCATTTGCAAAGGATTTAGTAAACATGGAAAGACAAGAAAAAATCATAATTACAAAACAGTTTATATATGCAATGTGGAGAAAAATGCAATAAGGAAATAGCCTAGGTGACAAACTGTCAACTATTCCTTCTTCCCTTTCCCTCAGGACAATAGAATTAGATCTGCCAGGATCTTGCTGTTCCTATGTTTCTGTCTGAAGGTCTAAAAGTTCTCCTCACCATCAGATTACAAAAAAATAAACAATGCTGTCTTTTGTGTAGATATTAAATCAGGAGACAGGAACTCAAACTTTTGAAAAGCATGCTATCTGCTGGCTACGGTGTGTTCCCCAAAATCCAAATGTGCTCCACTATGTACCAAGCATATAGCAGTAGAGAAGCCAGTTGTTTCTTTAAATTAAGCAAGATGGATCTATGTGTACCTCCTGCTCCAAAACATTCATGCCTTCCAACAGTAGGAAAAGAAGACAGTTCAGCAAATACAGACTTCCTATGTCCTTTAAGTAGTGCCTTTGACTACTGGGAAGGATTTAGTTCCAATATTTTTACAGTACTTATAAGATACAGCAAATAAGCTCTGTAAACAGATACTGTCAGTGAAGTCAGTGATTTCCAGTAGTTTGCATGATATGCTAAGTGAGATCTGAAGTTACTTTTATGTACTTTGTATGTACTTCTGAATCCCACCACCCTAAAACTTACAAGCTTCATAGTTTTGCCTCTGTTAAGAAGCTTTCCCTAAACAGAAAAAAATACTCACAGTAGACAGAACTTTTCAGGTGACCTATGAGAGACGGCTCAGAGAACTGGTTTTCTACACAGCTGAAATACTCATATAGTCCAGTGTACAGCAAAGACTAATATTTCAGACAGTACATTTAAAATCTGGAATCACCTCACTTGGTGACCAGCAAAAGTCAAGCAGTTCACAAAATCTGATTAAATTGTGGTTGTTAATCTGTGACTTGTTTGCTATTACGTGTTCTCTAACTCTTTCACGTTCTTTAACCAACACACTTCAAGCATGGGAGATTATGTGACAAGGATGGAGTTGTGGATATAGACTATAGCCTGGGTTGAGTATGAGACCACAGAGGGAACACATGCTATGACTGACTATAATGCCATAGTGCACATTCTTCTGAAGTGGAAGAAAAGGACAAACATAGAGACAGAGGGCAAAACATAACACATTCATATAACTGCACTGTAGCCACAGCAGCAGATCTTGCTTCCAAGTTTATTCTGGTGCTGTAGCTACTAGCTAGACAAAGGATTGATGCAGCTCAGAAGCAAACAACAGAGATACACACATTTTCTGGACATAACCAAGGAAGTGGTGTAGCTTGTGTGTTACAAATGTAGGAATAGGAAAAGCTGGGGAAATGGGAAGCTTGAAGTTGAGTAAACAGATGTAGATGAAAGGACAAGAGGGATGCAGAAGGAGACTAAGAGAAGTATATAAGGTTAGCAGTTTGAGCTAGAGTGATAGAAAGGTGATACTGTCATGCACATGAACAATTCACAAAAAGCTCCCAAGGAATTTGTTTCTCGTTAGAGAACTGTGGGTCAGAGCTACTTCAGTACTTATCCCTGAAGGGGAGAGGAAAACAATCTACAGTCCTTCCTCTGGAAGGGACTTAATGTGATGTGCTTTTGAAGAGGTGTGTGGTAACTGAAGGATGTAACACAAAGGTTTTTTTGAGTTACAAAGACACATGCTCTTTACTTCAGGTGGCACAGGAAAAATATAATTAAACACCAAAACAAGCAAAAACTGCCAACACCAAACAAATCACAACAGCAACATTGTGGTTTTCTCACAAATCATGAGAAGTGTTTGGCCAAAGGCAAAGGTTATCTGAAATAGTCCTGGCTCTCTACTTTCAAAACATGCTCTCTCTGCCCGCTACCTCAGAAGGCCTAGCAAAACAGAGTCCCATCTAGTCATTAAGCAAGGAGCAGCTAAAAAGAAAGTGTTACTCTGAGTTTTTTTTCAGAAAGCTAAAGAAAATCATCATTTTGAACATAAATCCCACTCTGTATAAAGCAATGCATATAAATGCCAAAACACATACTTTGGCTGCTGATTACTGCAAAACAGATAGCAAATTTGTCATTCTGCATACACCTCAATAAAAATATGCAATACATTATTAAATCCTTGATGGAATACACGTATACTACATATCCACCAATTTAAAAAGTAAAAACATAATCTAAGTTTTTGTCCACAAAGAACAAACACATAGCAAAACAGTATAACTTAGAAAGTATTTTAACTGAGAGGTATGCTAGGCAGGGGACAAAAATTCTGTTATTTTCTGGGAGATGACCAGTAAAAGTGTACATAATCTTGAAAAAACAGAAGATAAATTCATTATCATCCCTGACATGCAGTTCAGAATATCAGAGTATCCTGATGTTATCCTGATAAAAGAAACTGCCTCAGTGCTTATCAGCATCTTCTAAATTGCTTCAGATTTATTGCAAAACATCATCTTCTAGAGATCTTTATTGGAAAACTGCTTGTAGATGTTGCTGGATTCTGAACTGCTTTCATTACAAGGTCTAAATTTTTTACAATGGCAAATTCATAGATGCATAAAATCAGTTGCTCAGTAAACAAATACTCTTGACTCCTAGATTCTTTGCTAATATTAAATGCAATTTATGTTTTTGCAAGTTATAATATTGTTGCACATAAAGGCTAAATTCCAGTCTCCAAAATTATTGTCATTTTTATCTATATAGAAAGAGGCAAGATATTGACACAAAGGTCTCAAAAGCTCAAAGAAAATAATTGTGAAAATTAGTCTCATTCTAACAGACTTTGCAAGAAAATATTCTCTGAAAATCCCGTCACAGACATTCACAAAAGCATATAGGGAACTGAAAGGTGAATCAGGTAAGAAAAAAAAAATTCAGGAGTTTACGGAGTTTAACACTCATCCCAGGAAACAACCATTCCAGTCCTAAAAGTTATAAAATGTACTTTCTTTTTTTTAATAGTTTACAGATCTATTTGACAGTACAGCACTTCTTCCTCAGAGAAGTTTTTATCCTCATCTTTCCTTGATTTTCCTTCACCTTCTGACCTTAACAGCTTCATAATATAACTCCAATCTTTGTACAGAGAAATGATATAAAAAGTGGAAATGTAGTCTTCAAATGAAAGCAAAAAGATCTACTAAACAAACTTTGACCTTCTCCCCTTTTTTTATGGAATGCTATGTTCATTAACTGTTTTCTTTAACTGCTTTCAGAACATTTCTTCAGATGTTATGAGGTAACTTTAACTAGCCTGCCATTCCAGAGAGAGCTTCGCTTTCATAATTAAGTGAAGAAATAATTGTATTCATACATTTTAAAGCTTCTAATATATCAGATTGAGAAAGTAGTAGTTAAGTTGGTTCAAGTGCTATTCTGCACTAAATGATGAACACATAATGATAGAATTTTCCCCTTTATTAAATTTGCTTTCCATAGCTATATGGAATTATTCTTGCTTCTGTGATGAAATACATATTTTGAGAACTACTTTCATTGTAGAATCAATACCACTAAAAGTACCTCAGCACTGTGGCATTAATGGACATTATCCATATTCAGTTAACACCCCTCAGCTTTGCCTCTTTAGACTGAGGGTGAACACACCATGAAATAGTATTTTGACTACACAGAATTGATGAGCCGTGTGATAACATGAGCTGCAGACAACAGTCCCAGCAGACTAGCTAGGGGCATTAAATAACTAAGTTAAGATTGCTTGTTTGTTGCAGGCAGGACTTGATGAGGAAAATACAAATCAGATTGTGCATCTGCTATAGAGAATCAAGGCAGGCTGTTCAAAATTATCAGTTTTAATGATGCACCTCAACCAGCAGAAAACCCTGATTTAACATCAACATTAATCTTGTTTTGTGCCGGTAATATTTATTTTCCCAAAGCACAGTTAGCATGTCATCAAAATTTACCAATTTATTATCTAAATAAATTTATATATGCAGTCCTAAAATTCTCCGAATCCTATGTTTTATTAAATAAAATCATGAATTAAACTTTGTATTTAGTAAACTGTCCTTTTACTCACTTGTACTAAAACCTGTTTGGCTGCCTTACTACTTACTTGAGGTTTTTAAAAACTGTAATTAACATTAAATATTATTTATTTAATAATAATGGGTAGATTATCCGTCTTCTGTGGTTATTTGGTTGTTCATTAAAAGTAAGTATTTAAGATTTAAAATTAATGAAAATTAAATCAAAGAACAATATTTGATATTGGTGAACAGAAATTACTGTTTCTCACTAGCCTTCAAGATTTTAGGACTAGCAGACCTAGTTATTATTTTTATTCAGAAGTGATAAGAAGAGGAAGTTGGTTTTCTGATATTCCAATTCCCACTCTTTTCTCATATTTGAATGAAAAAGTGGTAAAACTGAGTGAAAAAAATTTAAACTAAAAGTTATTTCCTTTCCTGTGCACTAACAAAAGCTGCCAAAAAGCTGCAATAAATTCAAGTTTTCATTAAAAATAAAAAGCTGGTTTATTAAACAAGAAATAAGATCTGTCTGAAGAAATCTGAGCCATAAGATCAGCAAACTTCAATAAAATTGTTAAAGAGAAAAAAAATGAGTTTTGCGAATTTTTATACTGATTATCTTCACATATTATGATAAATTTGTCCATTAAAGGATAATTTTAGTGACTGTAAGTAGATTCATAACAAGAAAAGCACAATTAAATTACCAGAATCTTAAAACTAATAGAACTGTATGGGGGTACTATGGCAGAAGGCACTGAAGATTAAATGATTACCACACATTATGGAGAATACTCATTATTCTTAAATGCTTATGGCCTCTTAAACACAAGTCTATA